AAAAACACCTACAAATAACCTCTTCGTCATTAAAGACAATCTCCAGAAAGTTATTGTATTCGGCATCGAATTTCTCAAACACATTGACTGGCCTTAACTTCATGTAAGATTTATTGTTGCGTGTCACAGCCATCATTGTATCCCAAACATGCCCCATTTTTTCGTTATTTATTTATTTATTTTTTTAAGAAAAATATAAAACAAAATAAGACACATAAAATAATGAATGGAGAAATGTTTTAGAGCATGTTTGGATATGAAAATTTTAGTTTTGTTGGATTTCTTGATTTAGTTTGGTTAATTTTGAAAAAGGTGATATGGTTAATTGTTAGCGGGTATATTAAAATAATATTTAAAATAAAATAATTAAAAATTTGATGTGATGGTTAATTAAAATATTGTGAGTGAATGAATAGTGAATTAATATTGATGTAGGGTGTATGAATGATTAATTGATATTATTTAATCCTATTGATAATATTAATGATAGTGGATTGAGTTAAAGTTGAGTTAAAAAAAGTGATTGAGTTAAAATATTGAATTTTTTTTTTTTTGAGATTTCTTGTATACGAACATGCTCTTAGTGTGTGTTTAATGAATGAGTATTACATCACTTTTATAGAGCCTAGAAGATATAGTTGAATAAAATCGATAAAAAAAAATGAAAGATATTGGTGAATAAAATAAATATTTAAGAAAGATTGCATATGATCGGATATATGGAAAAACTGATTAGGAAAACGTGGAAATTTCATTATGCGTTTTGATTTCCTTATCTTTTAGTACATTTTTTTATATTACATAAATAATTAAACTTCCCTGTAATCTTTTTGATAACGATATCGGCACAAAGAAAGGAAGTGTGTTGAGTAGTTTTGTTTCCATAAAATTATAGTGATATGGGATGCAAAAAAAAAAAAAAATGTTATTTATTAAGTTTATATCCAAAGAATTAGGAAATCAATGATATACAATCCATGTAAGTTTTTTAAATCGAAGAGAATTTTATTTTTTCAAGGATACGATATCCTCCAATCTACACTAATTTATTGAAATTGAACCCCTTCTATGGTAGGAATTAATTTCTTTGTAAGTTGAAAAATTGTTGAAAATGATTCCAAGATTTCCACGATTTCTTCATATTAATATGTACTAAAGATAAGAAAATGTGTTCAATTACATGGACAATGGTTTTCTAGTAGTTTTTCAATTTAACATATTTTAAATTGATTAACAAAAATAATCCTAGATAAAATAATAAATCTTTTGAGTTCGATATAAAATTCTGACCGGCAAATTGCAAACATTTAGAATATGCATATAATTTTTGCAATGAACAAAAGACTGAGTAAAATAATATTGATGTATATATTGATTTAAAAAATAATGTAAATGAATATTTAGAATTTGATTGTTTGAAAGGAATATCTAACTAAAATGTATTATATTATTAATATTTTTTAATTAGAAATCACTGAAAATGATTCCATGATTTGTACGAATCTTATTGATATATACTAAAGATATGAAATATGTCTAGTTTAATGGACAATGGTATCCAAGTAGTTATTAATTTAACATATTTTAAATTGATTAAAAATAATTCAAGAGAAAAATATCATAAATCTTTTTGAGTTCGACATAAAATTCTGGCTCGATCAGTTTAAAGTGAAAAACGTAAGCAATCCGATCTGTTTTTTAAAATTTATCAGTACAAATATATGATTCATAATGTCTGGTAAGGAAATAAAAATTATTTGTCTTTCAAATACAATAAAATTTTCGTTTCATATGTAAAATCAAGAAACAAAGAAAAAAAAACATTTTCCTCTAAATTATTATAATAATAATTACTACTATTGAAAAGTAAATCAAATTTAATCGAAATAAACTTTCCAACTTTAATAAATCCAACAACCTTGGTGAATTAGCATAGATACTATTCCATTCGATACAAACAAAACATTACGAAGCACCGACGTATACATGCTAATCTTGGTTATTTGGTTCTCTTATGGATATGCTCAATCTGTTATGTGTTTTTAACCTTTTCTCTTTTATCAAATGATATATAAATTAATTATTTTTTATAATTTTTAATTTGGCAATCATATTGCATATAAAATAAAAAAATAACTATATCCACCGCTATAAATAAAATTAAACTATTTATCATTTTTAATTAGAAAATAATAAAATCTATTAAACAAACTTATCTATCAAGCATATTATAAAGTATTAGTGCGGGACCCGTGCGATGCACAGAAAAATAATATTTTTATTGTATTATAAATTAAATAAATAAATAACATTAATCATGATTTACCCATTATTTTTAAATTAAACCTGGTTGGACACAGTCTGACCGGATGGACCAAGAACTGATTTATAACCAGTCCAGTGCGCTTGAATAAAATATTTGCTATTGAATCCTTCAACACCAGTCTGTTGGACTGATAGGATCGATACGATTTTCTAAACAAATTTTGTTACAATAAAAATTATTTTAAATAAAATTACATATTTAAATAAAATAGAGATTTATAAATTGTTTATCATATAGTTTAAACATTTGAATTTATAAATTGTTTAGATATTTAAGTAACACTTTTTATTTAAATTAATTACAAAAGTACTATATATATATATATATATAAATAGGGGCTGGTTCAAATAAAAACTATGTCTGGTGTGAGAACCATATTTGATGCTATTTTTAATTGTGTATGATGCTATTTTTAATATTACATGGTGCTATCATTTTCATAAATGCTAATAAAAATTTTGTTGCTATTTTTAATCAAATACATCCTAGTTAAAAATAGCACTAAAACACAATTAATCATAGCACTACATACAATTAAAAATAGCGGTTCTCACGGTTCTCACACTAGGACTTGGTTCTCATCTGAACCACATCCTATATATATATATATATATATATATATATATATATATATATATAAAAGTATTATGTATTAAAATCTGAACAACCACAAATGATTTAATAAAATAACTTGATCGTTTCGATGACGGTCCGGTTCTGAAAATCTTATATTTACCGTACATTAATAAAAAAATATAATAAAATAATTATTTTGTTCACATAAATAATAATAAAATGATATATAAATATTCATAAATCATTAATCATGTTGTCATAAAAGTATTGTTAATATGATTATTTGAAGTTTGAACTACATCACATTCACGTAATAAACAATATTAAAATTTATATTTAGGTTCAGTAATCGATTTGGTCTGGTCAAATTGATACATAACTTAGTTACCTGGGACCACCAACCAAGTTGTTTCAAAGTTTTTTTTACTATTTTAAATATCACCTAAAAGTAATTCAATCAACGTGGGCAGTATCCTAATTCAATCACCCGATTGATCCAAAGTAATTTTCTTATTTTATTTAAATATAATATTTAATTTTATGAAATAAAAAAATTTTATGATTCATATGTCTACACCAAATGATAATATATTAAGATTATAAATTATATATCTAAAGATGAATTATTTATTATATTTTATGCATATTAATAAAAAATAAACATAGTAATTTAAAAAAAAATTAAGATTAATTGATTGAGTGTGCAATTTAAAGAATATTTTTAGCGTTCAGTATATATATATATATATATATATATAAAATAAATAAATTGCTGAAAATAGTATATAATAAATGTGGTTTGACTTTTCTTACTACTATTTATGGTAAATGTTAATTCTTATCATATATATATATAGATATATATGTTGGTAATGAGAGTCCTACCAAAAATCTGTTACCAAAAAGAGTCCTAACAAATAAAAACAATATATTTTTTATTCTAAGTAGAAATTGTATACAAAATTTCAAAATGTGTTAATCACCATCACAACGTGAATTACTATTTTATGCGAATGTTCTATAAAGATTTGTAGAGATAATCACCTTAAATTATGTCTATTTTTACTTAATAAAATATTGAACACTTGCATTTGTTTTAGGAAATGAATAACAAACTTACACTACACGTTTTGAATATTGATAGGGTTAATATTAAAAAAAAAAAGAGTTTTAAAATTTTCAAACAATACCGATTTTGTTTCTTTAAATTCTGTCTACCCAAATATCCGCTCATTCAAAAAAGGTGGTTACTAACTACGACCTTATCACGTTGATTGTTTCCTTAATTTATCTCTACCCAATTATCCGGTCATTCCAAGAAATTGGTTATCAAATCTCTCGACCCAAATTGGTGTATTTAATGACTTGTTGATGCATGTGAAAAGGACACTAAATTAGGTGTGAAAAAGACATAATAGTTGCTGTTTTTGAAAAAAAATTAATGCAATTTGGACATTGACTAAAAGTTGACTTACTAATTTTGATAAATGTTAATGCTTATTATATATATATAGATTACTATATAGTAGAGAGAAGAAAAAAAACAAAAATAGTATGTAAGTTTCCCACTCATTTTTTTGTNTTTTTGGGAGAATCCCGCCCATGATTCTTATTCAAATTTTTTGAATTTCTTTGAAAAAATTTAAATTCTAACATTTAAAGGAGGAAAGATTACAAGCAGATTTTTTGGGTACATTCTATTTTATCTTAACTTCCATATAAACACATTCCTAACAACTAATTAATATAATATTTTTTTATCCAAGTTATCTGATCAGGTATTTCAAGATATAATTAATATAATATTTTACTTAATTAATTATACGATTATTCTTACGAATATATTACTAAAATATTAATTATTTTAGAAAATATTTAAAAATAAATTTGAATTATCTACCTTTTACTTTATATGAAATTCAAAATTACATATTTTTATATATTAATAAACGTTGTTATTAATTTTTTTTCTTATGTGATATAATCTAAATTCGGTTAAATTTATAAATTCAAACATTTAAAGAAAAAGATCCTAAACAGATTTTTTTGGGTTAATTTCATTTTATCTTAATTTTCATATAATTACATTCTTAACAAACTAATTACTATTTCTTTTTTACATTATCTAACCGAATTTATATGATATAATTAATATAATATCTGAAATAATTAATCATTTATCTAATCGAATTTATCTCTCTAACAAACTTGCCAATTGTTTTGAAATTAAAATGGTATGATTATTCTTACGAATA